TCTTTCCCTTTTCAGGGCTCCTAATTGGACATATTTGGTTAGAAGATAGCAAGGGATCCTATGTCTGTAGTCTGTACGGACTAGTACTCCAGGGCAAAGAGCAAGGTAGAGAAGGGTAGAGATAAGTGTGCAGGTGGAAACAAAACCTATTTGGCACAGATGGTCTTTCTAAGGTGGCATTTGACCTGAAATAGTAATTGAGGGAGTCAGCCACTCAGAAGGACTGGAAAATGCAATACGCTTGAGGCTTGCTCTGTGCCTGGAACAGTGGGAGGCGAGAAAGTAGTGTTATTAGAGATATTTTCTGGGGTCTTATCATGTAGAGTCTTGTAGACTATGGTGAAAAGTTTGATTTGTATTCTAGGTACTAGAGAAAACTCTTGGAGGGAGTGACATGATCTGATTTACATTTGTTTAAAAAAAAAAAACATGCTAGCTGCCATGTGGAGAATGGATGAGACCAAGAGGAGAAGCAGGGAACTAAGAAGTTATTGTACTCTAGACAGAAGAGATGATGGTGGCTTGCACTGGAGTGTAGAGAAGAGTGGGGAGTGTCACAGAGTAAGGAAAGGAAAGGGTACTGATTTTTCTCACTCTTATTCTCCTACTTTTAGCACGGGTCTTTCTCACAGTACATGCTCGGTAAATATTAATGAAATGATGGGGTGTGATTTTTTTTTCTTCCCTAGTACAGCACCGGCATGCATAAATGCTACTGAATGAAAACTGTGTGGGAAATGGAGAGTTTGAGGAGGATAATCCTAGAAGAAACATACCATTTGAAAGCTTATTACATGTCATCTAATTTGATAGCCTACTGAGTTTGGGATGAAGTCTGGGATGATTTTTGTGAGCCTGTTGTGGAGGCAAATCTTTCCTTCTTCCTCAAGTTCATGTCCTTGCGAACCATTTAGATGTCATTTCCTTTCTCACATCAAGTTTTAACTCCTCAGTTCTCCATTGTATTTCCTCCGGTTGGTGGTAGGGGTGTAAATTAAGCCTGAAGGGAGCACTGACCTTTTATTTCAGTTCTCTACAAAGGCTGCATCTTTAATAACAGTCTTCTGCTTTCATAAATTCACAGAGATTCTTCATATGATCTCAGTGAATGAACAGGAGGACTTGGTTTGCATAAAAGTACCATGTAATTTTATTTTGATAACAGAGAAATAGTAATTTTGTCTGTGGCTGAGTTGATTTATTCATTATAAAAATGATATTTCTGTAATTTAAAAATCACTCTTTTGACTACTAGATCAGAGTCTCATGGAATCCTTCCTGGACAGAAGAAATTTTTGCTCAAAGTTCCACTATATGAACGTCTATTACGGTGTCCCAGTCTACCTTTGTGTTTAAATTTTGACAAAGTTGCCCAAAGTAAAGGAAGAATTCCAGAAAATAGTGGTCCTCAAACATGGGCTCTTGACATGTTCTCTAAGCCTAAACAAAAGAAGACAACCCCAAGAGAGAAAGTTGTTAAAATATCTGTTCATGAAGACTCGTCTGAAAGAGTGAAAAAAACACCAAAAATAGAATTGAGTGGTTCTTTGGAATCTCGTCTTCCTCCAGCGGTCATTAGACATTATGAATCCGAAGTGGAGATCTTGACTGAAGAAATAAATAGTAAGAAGAAATATCCTGCATTTTTATATTGTAGGCGTGGAGCTCTTTATAGGAAACTGGGAAAGTTCCAGAGTGCCATGAATGATCTACATGAAGTAAGTTTTTATTTAATCAAAATAATAATATTAACAATTTATCCTTGCTTATAACTATATATTAACTTTTACTAGAATTGTGAACAATGAATATTTGTATTATACATGTGGGATTGTGAAACTATGATTATTGGCATTTTCAAATAATTAACATTAAAAACACTTGATTTTGTCTGTCAGATTGGGAGGCATCATTTTATACTATACACATACAAAGCCATTGGGATCAATAATGTTTGAAAATTTATTTGATGGGATATCTTCCCTTAAATCAATTTAAATTGAATTTATACATTTATTTTCTAGGCTATACTCTTGGAGCCATTGTTTCTCAATGCCTATTGGCACCGACACTTCATTTATCTTTTCCAAGGCAAAATTAATGAAGCTTTGGATGACTTGAATTATATAAATAAATATAATAAAAATAATGCAGGTGGGTTGTTTGTGCAGTTATATTACTTAGATCTTTACCTAAACATTGATCATTTAGTGGTATAAAGATACATAATTCAAGACATATACATCTCCACAAATGGTCGTGACCTCCCAAGTTAAATTTACTCTTGATATCATATATTTAGGACTGTTTGTGATCCTATTGTTTTAAAAATACTTATCATGGTTTGAAATGTTAATGTCCTTGGTATACATTACAATAAATTGGTTCCTTACTGCTCATCCCGTAAGAAGAATATGAACTTACAATTTTTAGTTATAGAAATGATTTACAAATTTAGTCTGAATTAGAGTTGTAGCGTTCTTAAGACTTCACATTTACGTTTGTGTTTATGTACCATTCTCTAACCAACTTGAATGACTAGACATGGAACTTTTGGGGAATGAGAAAATGTCATATTCATCTTTGTATCTCCAGCACCCACAACATACCCCTAGAATATAACATGAGCTTAATAAATGTTTTTTTTAAATCTATGCTGATCTCTGCTAAAAGTCCATAAGATTTTGTACCATCAAAATATAACTTTTTACTATGAACGTTAAAGGATTATTAAACATTTCAGATATACAGAAAAGAAAAGTTAATTTTTGTTATTTCATATTGAAATTGAAAACACTTTTAACCATAAGCATTTATGCAGTCTTTGAGAACAAATTTTGTATTGTTGAAATAAAAAACAAATCTTAAGTTAAATGGCAAAGAAAGTATAATAGAGATACATTATTCTAAGACTACAGTTTTGGAGGGTGAAGGATTCGTCTTTAAAAATTTAGGACTGTAACACTAAATTTTACCTTTTTAATTTTCTTTAGACGCATATTTTTCAAGGGCAGAAATTTTCAGATCAAAAAAAGACAGTACTTTGGCAATTCTAAATTATACTCAAGCAATTAAGTGCAAGCCCATGGATGCTGATATATATTTCAGGAGGGGTGAGATGTACGAAATAGAAAACAAAGTACTGGCCATTGATGACTTTTCTAAAGTAAGCTGTGTCACATATAATTCTGCCATTTATATATTTTAGAGCCTGATATTCTCATCCTAATATTATAGCAAATTGTTGAAATTCTTTCATATGTTATGTAATCAAAATTAGTTTATTTTAGATTAGGCCCTAGAACATTCGTTACTGGGATTGATATTAACAGTATGTCAATGGTTTTTTTGAATGGATGGATTTACATCAGAGTCAGGTGTGGGAGCATTGAGGCAAGAGGCAACTTTGAGGGGGACTTGACTTTTCCAGCTCTCTTCTCTTGGACTATGAAGCAGTGAATAAAGAAACCTCTGAAGATTGCTTCTTTCTTTCAAACAATGGAGAAAATCATTTTCTGCTTCTTAACTCTTGAGACGTAGCTGATTCTCTTCTGCAGCAAACCTATCTGCTTTAAAAGAAAGCTGTGCTCACTGGCTCATTCATTCATTCATTCATTTACTCACAAATATTTATTGGCTAAGGCACTGTGTAGTGTAATGTAGTGGATAAATCTTGGTGAATAAAACAGACATGTTTCATGTTTACATGAAGCCTATCATTTAAAGGACAGATATTAAAGAAATAAATATATACACTAATATATAATTACAAATTGTGATGGATGCTATGATGGAAATAAAGATTATGGGAGGCAATTTATGTTTGGTTGGGGGATATCAGAGAATTCCCTTGAGGAAGTGAATTTTAGCTGAACTGTATTTTGAGGCTGGAGTTGGGCAGATATTCCACTGATTGCGACAGAATTATAACCATGAACTCCTGACTTTAAATTATTAGTTCTTAGTACAGTTGAGAACTTAGATGTTATTGAAATAATTTAGCTTTTCATGTTCCCAACTGCCCTGTTTCTTAATCTATGTTGGTTAGCCACATACTTGACTTTCTTTTGCTTCAAGAGAAGATGATAAGTTTTGGTAACTTCTTGTCTAGAAGTGACCACAGATCTCTTTTGAAGATATTAAAATTATTAAAATATCTTTTCTGATCATTTCCTTTATCTAGCACCAATAGTTTAAAGATTGACTAATGCAGCAACTTGAGGTCAAACAAACTTCAGAATCTTTAGAGTTTTTTTTCCCCTGTTTTAAAAATAATTCATAATCTTTGTGCTTCATTTTTCTCCCCACTATCAATAGGCAAGGAACTTTACAACTGAGTTTACAATGATTTAGTCTCGTTACTCTATTGCCTTGTATGTCAATGTGAAATGAATGAACCATGCCAATACCAATTCATTTCTTTTCACCATTTTAGGGACTAAATTAATCCATATGTAATTTCATTGAATCAGCCTTGATGTGATCTAATACATATTGTCTTTAATTGGAATAAAATGCTATGATAGATGCAATATAACCCTACTCTAGCTGAACAATTACTTATGAGGTTTTATTAATAAAAATTTTAGTGGGCAGAAACCTTGGCTTCTTGTATGTGCTGGGGTTTGTTTTTGTTTTTTTTAATAAAACCTCCACTTTCTAGAATTTGATGACAAATGGATTTCCTAAAGGCATGGTCTTCAAATGCAAATCTGAAAGTTCTGGCATCTTAAAGTAGTTTGCTTTTATGTAATCTGAAGTTAAAAACATGGTTTTAGTCCATTTAATTTGCTATAGGGTTATATACTTTTCTTGTTTTTTTTTTTCATTATGTGATATGTTTTTGTGCCTCCCCTCCACACCCCCATGTAGTGTATCTTTTATGATCCCAGAAGAACAGATGCATTATTTAAACGTGGGATGTTCTACTATGAAAATGAAAACTGGATTGCAGCTGAAGAGGATTTTACAGCCTTGTTAAATATAGATCCCCAAAATTCTCAAGCAAGGTGAGAATTATTTTAGGTATGGTTTTTGAATGTTTTTTTTTTTTTTGAAATACATTCTCAGGAAAGAAAATTTCTTGAAATACATCAGACAGCCCTTTAAAAGTAGTGAACCGATTTTTAGTGCTACTAGTGAAGGAAAATCTTTACCTGTACCCTAAGAGTAGTGGGTAGTTTAACTTAAATGGCATGAAATGATAATTTAGAATTGTTTCATTGGCATTTCCTGAATACTAGTTACATTATCAATTTTTGAAGTATTGACCTATATTTTGTTTCTTTGGATTTCTTTTCATATACTTTGTATTCATTCAGTACAGAGAACTGTTCATATAGATTTCTGTGCTATCTTATTGTACCTGGGATATTAAACTTTGCTCTTCCAACCTTATTGTGCATAAAACAGTTTCCATTTTGTTGCTTTTGTTTTCATCTAAGTTTTGTTTTGAAGAGGCTTAAAATGTGTATGTAGCCATACCTATTCATCTCTTCACTCACAGTTTTTGTTTAACATTAACATTTTTATAGAAGAATACAGCAAGCATCTAAAAAAAGTATACAAAGTACAAACATACAGCTTAATGACTTATCACAATGTAAATGCTCATGTAACCATTATCAGGTCAAGAAACAACATTTCTAGCACCCCCTTGTGCCTTTGCCTTCCTGAGAAGGTAACCACTGTCCTGACTTGTATTTTTTTTATAGTTTCAACACATAAGTATGTGTCCCTAAACATTCTTGGTTTAGTTTTGCCTGACTTTTTTGAACTTTATATAAAGAGAATCATAAGGTAGTTTTCTTTCAATTCTAACTTATTTCATTGAATATTATGTACTATTGCATGTGGCTGTAGTTTGCTCCTTTTAATTTTTGTATAGTATTCAGTTACATGAATACATTGCAGTTTACTTATCCATCCTACTGTTGATGGACAGTTGAGTGTTTCTAATTTTTGATGATGACAAATACTGTTTCCTTCAACTTTCTTGTACATGACACACATATACTCATTTCCGTTGGATGCACAAGTAGGAGTAGAACATATGGTACATAGGGTATGCAGTTGTTCAGCTGTAGGGCCAAACTAATTTTACAAACTGGTTGTACTACCAGCAGTATATGCAGGCTCCACACCAGTACTGGGTACTATTATAACTTTCAAATTGTAGCCATCCTAGTGGGTGTGTAGTATTATCTCATTTAGTTTGAATTTTCATCTTCTTCATTACCAACATGATTATTCATTTTGAAAATTTTCTTAACCATTTGGATTTTCTTTTTTGTCATTCACAACTTTTGCGTTGTTGGTCTTTTTTCTTATTGATTTGTATGAACTATTACATATTCTTGATATGGGCCCTTTGTTGGTTATATTTACAGCACATTTTTTTCCTCCTCCAGATTGTCACTGCACTCCTTAAATAATTGTCTTTTGGTAAACAAAGTTTTAAAATGAAACATAGTCTGATTTAGTAACGTTTTTCTTTAAGGTTAGTGCTTTTTGTGTACTATAAGTAAGTTTTTCCTACTTTTGTGTCATGTAGATATTCTCCTGTCTGATCTTCTAGAAGGCTTATTGTTTCGCTTTTAAAGTTAGATTTACAGTACACATAGAATCAATTTTTGTATATGATGTGAAGTAGGGAAACAAATTTCACTTTTTCTACATGCACGTTCAATTTTCCAAGCAACATTTAATAAAAACCCTGTGCCTTTACCATCGATTTGCAGTGTTAGCTTTGTAGGAAATGAAGATCCATGTATGGGTGGATCTATTTGTCAGTCTCTTTTTCTATTTTGCGGGTTTAAAAAAAATCTATATTTGCACCAATACTATGCTGCCTTAAATACTATAGTTTCATAATAAGTCTTGAAATCCAGTAGAACAGTTCTTTTGATCTGTCAGAATTGTCAGAGCATTCCTTGGCTTTTTTGCATTTCCAAACACATTGAGTTGGGTTAAACTATATGAAAATTGACTTCTTTATAGATCAAAATAGTAAAATTTCAAAATTTCATACTGTTTAACCTAACAGAATCAGCAGGTCAACTTCTGTGGCAATTCCTTTGTATTTTGATTGGGGTTGCAATGAATTTATAGAGCAGTGGGGGAAATTGACATCCTAACAATTTTGAGTCTTTTCATGTACGCATATGGTACATTCTCTTTCTTTAGGTCTTCATTCCTTTTGGTCAGTAATGTTTCATAGTTTGTGCAAAGTCTTTTTCATATCTTTTTCTTTTTTTAATTAATTAATTATTTTTTAAAACATCCTTATTGGAGTATAATTGCTTTACAATGGTGTGTTAGTTTCTGCTTTATAATAAAGTGAATCAGCTATACATATACATATATCCCCATATCTCCTCCCTCTTGCGTCTCCCTCCCTCTTACCCTCCCTATCCCACCCCTCTAGGTGGTCACAAAGCACTGAGCTGATCTCCCTATGCTACGTGGCTGCTTCCCACTAGCTATCTATTTTACGTTTGGTAGTGTATATATGTCTATGCCACTCTCTCACTTTGTCCCAGCTTACCCTTCCCCTTCCCTGTGTCCTCAAGTCCATTCTCTAGTAGGTCTGCGTCTTTATTCCCATCCTGTCCCTAGGTTCTTCATAACCATTTTTTTTTTTTTTTAGATTCCATATATATAGTTAGCATACGGTGTTTGTTTTTCTCTTTCTGACTTACTTCACTCTGTATGACAGACTCTAGGTCCATCCACCTCACTACAAATAACTCAATTTCGTTTCTTTTTATGGCTGAGTAATATTCCATTGTATATGTGCCACATCTTCTTTATCCATTCATCTGTCGATGGACACTCAGGTTGCTTCCATGTCCTGGCTATTGTAAATAGAGCTGCAATGAGCATTTTGGTACATGACTCTTTTTGAATTAAGGTTTTCTCAGGGTATATGCCCAGTAGTGGGATTGCTGGGTCGTATGATAGTTCTATTTTTAGTTTTTTAAGGAACCTCCATGCTATTCTCCATAGTGGCTGTATCAATTTACATTCCCACCAACAGCACAAGAGGGTTCCCTTTTCTCCACACCCTCTCCAGCGTTTATTGTCTGTAGATATTTTGATGATGGACATTCTGATCGGTGTGAGGTGATACTTCATTGTAGTTTTGATTTGCATTTCTCTACTGATTAGTGATGTTGAGCATTCTTTCATGTGTTTGTTGGCAATCTATATATCTTCTTTGGAGAAATGTCTATTTAGGTCTGCTGCCCATGTTTGGGTTGGCTGGTTTGTTTTTTGATATTGAGCTGCATGAGCTGCTTGTATATTTTGGAGATTAATCCTTTGTCAGTTGCTTTGTTTGCAAATATTTTCTCCCATTCTGAGGGTTGTCTTTTCGTCTTGTTTATGATTTCCTTTGCTGTGCAAAAGCTTTTAAGTTTAATGAAGTCCCATTTGTTTGTTTTTGTTTTAATTTCCATTTCTCTAGGAGGTCTACAAGCCAGAAGGGAGTGGCATGATATACTTAAAGTGATGAAAGTGAAGAACCTACAACCAAGATTACTCTACCCAGCATTTAGGTCTTTAATCCATTTTGAGTTTACTTTTGTGTATGGTGTTAGGGAGTGTTCTAATTTCATGCTTTTAAATGTAGTTGTCCAGTTTTCCCAGCACCACTTATTGAAGAGGCTGTCTTTTCTCCATTGTATATTTTTTCCTCCTTTATCAAAGATAAGTTCACCATAGATGCCTGGGTTTATCTCTGGGATTTCTATCCTGTTCCATTGATCAATATTTCTCTTTTTGTGCCAGTACCATACTGTCTTGATTATTGTAGATTTGGAGTGTATTCAGAAGTCCAGGAGCCTGAGTCCTCCAGCTCTGTTTTTCTTTCTCAAGATTACTTTGGCTATTCAGGGTCTTTTGTGTTTCCATACAAACTGTGAAATTTTTTGTTCTAGTTCTGTGAAAAATTTCATTGGTAGTCTGATAGGGATTGCATTGAATCTGTAGATTGCTTTGGGTAGTATAGTCATTTTCACAATGTTGATTCTTCCAATCCACGAACATGGTATATCTCTCCATCTGTTTGTATCATCTTTAATTTCTTTCATCAGTGTCTTATAGTTTTCTGCATACAGGTCTTCTGTCTCCTTAGGTAGACTTATTCCTAGGTATTTTATTATTTTTGTTGCAATGGTAAATGGAAGTGTTTCCATAATTTCTCTTTCAGATTTTTCATCATTAGTGTATAGGACTGCAAGAGATTTCTGTGCATGAATTTTGTATCCTGCTACTTTACCAAATTCATTGATTAGTTCTAGTAGTTTTCTGGTAGCATCTTTAGGATTCTCTATGTATAGTATCATGTCATCTGCAAACAGTGACAGTTTTACTTCTTTTCTGATTTGGTTCCTTTTATTTCTTCTTTGTCTCTGATTCCTGTGGCTAAAACTTCCAAATCTATGTTGAATAATAGTGGTGAGAGTGGACAACCTTGTCTTGTTCCTGATCTTAGTGGAAATGGTTTCAGTTTTTCACCATTGAGAACAATGTTGGCTGTGGGTTTGTCATATATGGTCTTTATTATGTTGAGGAAAGTTCCCTCTATGCCTACTTTCTGGAGAGTTTTTATCATAAATGCGTGTTGAATTTTGTCAAAAGCTTTTTCAGCATCTATTGAGATGATCATATGGTTTTCATCCTGCACTTCATTAATATAGTGCATCACATTGATCAATTTGGATATATTGAAGAATCCTTGCATTCCTGGGATAAACCCACTTGAACATGATGTATGATCCTTTTTATTTGCTGCTGGATTCTGTCTGCTAGTATTTTGTTGAGTATTTTTGCATCTGTGTTCATCAGTGATATTGGCCTGTAGTTTTCTTTCTTTGTGACACCTTCGTCTGGTTTTGGTATCAGGGTGATGGTGGCCTCTTAGAGTGAGTTTGGGAGTGTTCCTCCCTCTGCTATATTTTGGAAAAGTTTGAGAAGGATAGGTGTTAGCTCTTCTCTAAATGTTTGA